CAGGTTGAGCTGTTGTTCAGCATCTTAGCTGTAGAGGGCAGTGTCACTGGCCCTCATATGTGGGATCCGAACCGGGGCCCTCTGGCGTCCCAAGCGAGTTCTTAACCATCGCGCCACTCGGCTGGCCCAGGAGTTCGTATTTTACATAGGCGCTTCATGTAAAAGAGCAACACTCTTTTACCTTCTAATATTTTGAGACATCAGTGTTTTACAAGTATTAATGGATCGATGCCATGTACTTACCTGCTATAACTAATAAACTGATTAATAAAATCGGAGTTCATAGCCCTTCTCTCTTTTAAGAGTATCACAGACTCACAGATTTGTAGGAGCTTATTCTCCATGGAAATCACCTTCAACCCATAAAGGTGAGAATGCCTATTAAAAACATTGATTAAATATATGCATTAACATTCTGGGCACAAATGATAAGGATGAGGAAGAATGAGACGGTGTGAAGCAAGATCCAGGGCTGGCAGTTGTAAGAGATGAGGTCATTAGGATAAAATTCAACTTGATAGCATATAGTCAGTAATCTCATTGTTGGGTTTTGTGGCAATGGTTGGAGCAACTTGTCAAGAGATTTTAATCATCCACAAAAATTGAAACAAAACAGCTTTCTACACAGTACTGTGGTCAGGTTTGCTGGGTGCTTTGAAGCTAGAGTGTAAAACCTAAGCTAAAATGCTTGAGAGTGTGCTAACCTATTGTGCTGGTCCCATCTCCAGGCTGGTTAAATATTTCTGTTTTCATTTCCAAGGTTCCAACAGAACCTTGTGCTTACAGCCATCCTAGACATTATCACACTTTATAGTGTGTTTTTTCTACTTACTTGTTTGTCTACCCTATCAGATTTTGAGGTCCTTGAGAACAAAGGATCAATTTAGCATTGTGCCTAGCATAAGCATTTAATAAATTTATTTGATTTAATGTAATTTGATTTAACATCCAATAAATTTTTGTTTGAAAATCTTGCTTTCCAACCACAGAACAGGCTATTAAGAATTGATTTCCCTCAAACATCACAAGCTCCGTATCTTCTCTTGCCATCTGGGGGTTTTAGACAAACATGGCCTGGCCACATACAATCCTGCGCACTTTGCTTTGGAGTTAGCTGCACACTGAGAAGGAATCCTGGGGCAAGAGGCAGCTGCTAAGTCACATGTACAGGAAGGAGGTGATGGTGAAATAACTTGATTTCCTGCTGCAAGACAGACCCAACATAACTAAATTTGTCAAGAAAATTACCTGCAGGAAGGGTAATCTGCTTTATACAAAAATTTTTCACGAGAGTCTTCTAAAAAAGCAAGTATGTATATGTGCATTAAAAAAAATTAAGCATTTAACTCGGTTCTCAAAGGGATCTGGGACCCAAAAAAGATAATACCTACTGCTAACTGTGAATACACAGAAGTTGGCTTTCAAATGTGGAACTTCTACTTTGATAAGTTTCTTTAGAGGAAGGATAACATCTGAGCCTCTTTTTTACTTTTGGCACCTCATACCACAGTTCCCAGGGCACAGCCATCAACAGGGTTTTTTTTTTTTGGATACAATGTGTGGGAAGTAAAAACAAGGCTTATTTGAAAACCATCACTACCCAAGGATGCCATCATTTGACATTGCTCTTTACCTTACCTACCCTGTGCTCACTGCAGGCTGGTGGAAAAAATTTACACCTTTCTGAAAGAGTAAAAAATTTTCTGTTTTATTTGTATGTTTTGGAATGTCCAAACCCTTTTCCATGCCCAACTACTACCACTACTAACTTTTATTTGTATGGCACTTAAAAAGATTTTACCTTAGATTCTTAAAAAAATTCGGTGAGATACACAGGTCTTCCGGGAAGTAGGACTTCCATGATAATGAAAATGAGGCCTGGTTTCCCTCAGATAGAAGGCTTATTTTCTTATTCCTTTCCTTAAATGAAAAAAAGCAGAGGTCTGGGGAGATCCCACATAGATTCAAGTTTTAAACATAGCAAAAACAATCCCAGCAGGTAACAGCAGGAGACCAGGAAGCTTTGAAACAGCAGGTGACTTTTCTAACAAAGCTGACACAGTTGGGGTTAGGCTAACACCTAACCACTATAAAGCAACAGGAAAAAGAAATTCTTTTTTTTTTTTTTTTTTAAGCAGCAGCTTAACTTGCTGGCTCAGCAAATGTTTTTCCCTATTATAGTTTGGAAAAAAACATGACTTGGACGCCCTCTTTACCCTGAGCCCTTCCTCCCGCCCCCGACTGTACCATTAAGTCCTAGATACTGGGGTGACTAAAAAGGATAGGGACTAAATCAGTAATTGCCAAATTCCTTCACCCCCACATTGTGCATGGCAGCACTTGCTACTTTCTTTTAAGTTGATTGTAATAATGGAGTCAGGGGTTTGCTCTGCTGGCAAGGTCACAGGCAGAGTGAGCGCTGCACTTTGGACTATTAGCTGAGGGTTGAGGTAAACAACAGGACTATATATATCAGTGTCTCCCAGTGCTTTTGTGGATCAGCGGGGCTGAGAGCAGAGCGAAAGGAAGCAGCTTCGTCCGGGGGGCGGGTGTTGTGTAAGTAGGAACTTTGTGTTTTCCAGTCCTTGATTCTTTTAGAGTTTGGTAAATAATATGATTTTGCCTCTGACAAAGTGTTTCTTTCCTCAGAACAGATTTTACAAAAAGAGATAGGTAAAGAAAAATGATACAGAAGGAAGAGAACAAAATACGCTAACATTGGGTGTGGTGGGTGCTGTTCTGCAGGGAGCAGGCACATTGAGGGGCTTGTGGATTTCTGCCCTGCCTTCTGCACAGCGGAGCATGAAGATGGAAGCAGGGGAGGCTGGAGAAATGTAACACTTTGATTCTGCAGAAAGTTGTGATACTTTAAAAATACAGTAGTCAACATTGTATGTTGAGGCTGAAGTATTTCCTGCTGAAATGCAGAGTGAAAACTCAACGGGCAAAAACAGCTTGTGGATTTGAAGAGCAAAGATGAAATATGGCCATTCTACAGTGCTGTAGAAATGCCCATGGATATTGTGAGCAGTTACAGGGAAACAAAAAACAAAAAACAACAAAAAAACCCAGAAGGGAGAGCAGGTTCTGTCCATTGTGCAGAAACTGTCACCCTTGAAAGAGTTAAAACCCATGTCAAAATCAGGTGGTCTGTGATTAAATGCAAAATTTTGCAGTTTAAGTGGTGAGTGGGTGCTTTCAGATGAATGAGGAAGGACCCTCAGAGGCCAGTCTGAAATTCAAGGGAAAACAATGGAAAAAGGCTCTGCATCACTTGCCTTTTAATGGGGAATTTTAAACAAATGTCGGTCTGTATATGGCCAACATATCTAGGTTTTGTGATTGAAAAGTGGTGAGATTAGTGAAATTTGTAACTATTTTCTCAGTGTTATTGGATCAACCTCCAGTAAATCCAATTTTGTTATTTATCTTCATTATTTTTATGTAGACACCTGACAGGTATAATTATAATCAAAAGTCTATTATGTAAAAATGACTTAAACACAGTTGAATAGCCTATTGATTATAACCGAGGAAAATCTGAAAGCGTGAACTCTGTAATTCACTACCCTCTGCCAATGGCTTTAGTTATTTTTTCATCAAAAAACTAAATGAAGGAAATGAGTAAAATAGTCTTTTCATTTATATTGACTGTTTAGCCATTTGGAACGTTATGCTGTATGGCAAAGTGAGAGTACCAAGTGCTGAATTTATGCTGACGGTTCTATAATTACTGAATTTATATTCTAGAAAGTAGGGGGAAATCTAGTCATTCCAGTAAGAAATAAAACAGCCTGAATAATTTCAATGTTCTCTTTGCCATTCTAGGGAATAAACAAACAAACAAAACCCTGGCAGCTATATTGAGGGTGATCTATCTAAAAACCATCAATATATTACAGTAGCTTAAGAGGTCATGTTTTGGATTTAGCAGAATTGGTTTGAATCCAGTGTCTCTTGTGACTTCCTACCTGTGTGGACTTGGACAAGATGTCTAAACTCTCTCTTAGCCATAGTTTCCTCAACTGCAAAAGGGGTTAATGGTCACATAGTTGTTAGGATTAACCGACATGATATAAGTAAGTGCTTAGCACCACCTGCATACAGTTTTATAAATGCTCCATAAATGGTAGCTATAATAAGGATAATTGTATCGTCAATATAATTACTATACTAAAGAAATCCCCTACATTTCATCCAGATTATAGCCTCTCCTTTTTTAAATATTAGAATTTTAAAAATATTATAATAGTTGGATGGCCTTAATAAATTATCGTCTCTTAATACCCCTGCCCCTACCACCGTTAGGCTCTTATGATATATAGATAGGAATTTTGTGGTCTTAAATAATGTAAAAGATAATCAGGTTTAATAGGGTTCTATCTACATCTTGCAGTGTGCACTAGAGCCCAACTCAATCTGATTTTAGCCTTTCTACTCTCCTCTTAATTCTGGGCTCACTCTAGGAAACTTATCATTAGCCTCCTGCTCTCCCTGCACCCCCTTCCAATCACCCCTCTCCGCCCCAAAAAAAAGTGATTTTACTTTTTTTTAGTCCCAAATCAGTGCCTGAAAATGCGCCAACTTCCCAGCTCTGGAGTTTTGTCCTGATCTCTCTCCACAGACTTACATCAAAATGAGCCTGATTGAGCCTGTGTGGATTTTTCTTTCTCTGGTTGTCTCCACTGAATGTGTTCCTTTTTTCACCAACTCTCTACAATTCACTTATTTTATTTGTAGCTCTCGGATGAGAGAGTTAGCCTTAGTGTTGGGAATATTTCTGGTCAGGTATTTAATTTTCCTACTCAGAGAGGGCACTTTTCCCCCCAGAATGTGCCATCTAGTCACAGGAACTTCTTGAAAATAAGTGGTAGCCAATAAATACACTTGAGTGTAGATTTCGGTGAGTCTTAAACGGCAGAGGGGGCAGTGATTTGTAGTATTTCTCCTTGGTATGTTTTTTTCACTGGTCCATACTTACCTTGGATGTGGTAGTAACATTTGGGTGGTAGTTTTCTATCTGAAGAGATTCAGATCCTTTAATATTGACATATGAGTAGAACTAGATTTTAAAGAGTAAATAAGAGCAAGAAAAGGGAGTCATATCCAAGAACTGTATAAATATAGAAGGTTTGAACCTCAAGAGTTAAGGGCCCACAGAAGCCACCTTTGTATTGGTAGACTGCCCTCACTGCCATCTCCATTATTCCTGGGTTCTCTTTTCATGCTGGCTCTTTTCCTTTCTGTGCAAAATCCCCTGCTTACCCTTTCCTTCCTTAGATTGGTAAAGGATGGAAAGAAGCAATGAGAACTTGTTGCATCCCAAATAAAAATCAAATCCTGTTTGTAGAACGTCTCTTAGTTACAGAGGACGCAGTCTCAAACTTTTTCTAAATGTGTATCGTCTCCTGGAGAAGTACTGGGCTCCCTGTTCAGGCAAATCTCCATAGCATGATTACTGAAGTGTCTTGCTAAGCCAGATAGTCAAGAGGTGCTTTGACAATTCCCCTGCTCCCGGTAGATCTTTTCACCTTCATGGGGAGATTTGGTGCATGGAGGTCCAATCTAATGAACAATATGGAGACGGAATTCATGGCTAGATATTTACAGGAAAGAGAATTATACCTGCTTGATTTATAGAAATTCCTAGTTACGGCTGTGAAGTCACCTGTGAAGATGACAGAAAGGTTTTCTCTTTTCCAGGGCAACACCGCAATGTGGAGAAGCCTGGGGTTGGTCTTGGCTCTCTGTCTTCTCCCCTGTGGGGGGACAGAGAGCCAGCGGCAGAGCTCCTTTTGTAAGAAGCCTCCAGCCTGGAGCATAGGGGATCAAGACCCAATGCTGAACTCATACAGTTCAGTGACTGTGGTTGCTCTTCTTCAAGCCAGCTGACACTTTTGCCTTCTGCAGGCGTCTAGGTAAGATAACCTTTCTGTGGGCTAGGATTTCATCAGGGAGAAGCTATTAAATGCAAACACATAAAATAAAATAAAAATAGAAAATATACAGTTAGTAAATCACATTTTTGGAAAAACTATGTATCTTCGAATAGAACATGTTAGAAGATAGAGATGAGGAGGATATACACCAAAATGTTTACAGTGGTTTTCCTGATGCTATGGAAATTTTTTCTACTTTTTGTGGATCTTTATTTTATAATGTCCTACTAAATATGTATTACTTGTGTAATGAAAATGTTCTAACATGTACTCCTGCAAATGGATTATTTCAATAGAGCAAGTAAAGATGAGTGCTTTGCCAGAGTAGAACGTACACTAGACATGCCACAAAGATCTTGAGTCATTTAACAAATTATACATATATATGCAAAAATATATGTGCAAAAAATATATATATATCATGTACACACATGCACGTGCACCGGGGGTGCCAAAAAATGTGTACAGGAGGACACTTTGGTCAACGTTGCTCAAGCAGTAGTTTGCTGTAATCAGAAGTGTCTGGACGCTGGTGATAACCACTTTGAGCACTTCTTGTAATTGCAGAAGTCAAATGTGACTTGTATTCATCTTTTGTTATCAGTATTTATTGAGAATTACAATTTTAATACAGTTTTCCTTTCTTAAAATGAGTATGCATTCTTTGGCACCCTCTATATATACACATATAAATATATATGTAAATATAAGTAAATAAATAAATTTGTTAAGTTTATATAACACTTATGTGTAAAAATATTTGTTGGGTTATTTGGCAAATATTTATTGGGTAGAATTCTCTGTAACTGTAAGATGGATTAAAAATATACACTTCATAGGATTAATTTGAGGACTAAATGAGCTAATGTTTGGCAAGCATTTAGCATAAGGCTTTAACTGAACACAAGTGCTCAATAAATAATTTTAAAAATGAAAGTTTTTGTTCTTTACAACAATATAAAAAAGAGGTATGAGTAAGTAAAAAGTAGTAAGAGACCTTCATCTAGAAAAAATAGTGGAGAGAAAGAGAGAAGTCACTAATAAAATTTAATGAGATTATTCTATTTTTTGTATTTTCCCCAAATAGTTTAGAAGACCTGCGAGTAAAACTGGAGAAAGAAGGTTTTTCTAACATCTCCTATGTTGTTGTTAATCATCAAGGAACCCATTCTCGATTAAACTATATGTATCTTAAAAATAAGGTTTCAGAGCATATTCCTGTTTATCAACAAGAAGAAAACCAAACAGATGTCTGGACTCTCTTAAATGGAAACAAAGATGACTTCCTCATATATGACAGGTGTGTACACACACACACACACACACACACACACACACACACCACAAATTAAAAGACTTCATATTTAATAGGAAATGATTTAAGATATCTGCTTTTATTTTATTACCAAATAAATGCTTAGTTTCAAAGTGAGCCCATTAAAATGTTTGGTTTTAATATTTTTGAAATGATTTTCTTTCACATAAAAGAATTCACCATTTCAGTAGGGACATAAAGAAAATTGACTGTACGTTCCCCCCGCCCCCCGTAAATTGGCATCGTGGTTAAACCACAAGAAGGATCAGTTTGTACGTCACATGCAGTTCTAACCTAAGAATTCTGCAGATGAATAACCACACTTTGAAGACCACTTGCTTATCTGTAATAATTAATAATTTCAGGCTACATAACTGAATTTCTGAGCTATAAAGTTTGTTAATTATTTAGGTTTAACCAGCATGAATCTGCTTTTGATTCCATGAACAAATAAAACATTTGTATGTTGAGGGAATCTCAATGCATACATTATTTGATATTAGTCACATTCCTGGCTGGTGCTGTTTTCTTTTGGCTTTTCAGAGATGGTGAGCCAGACTTTGCCTAGGCCTAAGCCCTACTCGCTTTTAGTCTAAATGTTTTTAGTATCATGTCATTCTTTTAGGACCACAAACTTCTAATTTAGTCAGTTGCAAAGTGTAAGCCTTTAATATTCACATAAAATTGTATATATGGGATAAAATGTGAGCAAGAAGGACATTTCAACTCCACCATTTCTGATAATGCCAAGTGTTATAATTCTATTTCATTGTGTGGAAATTTTTGTTGCATCAGATGTATGTTTAAGTAAATGGGCTACTGGCCAAGACTCTAGGATTTCCTTGTTATGCTGTGATTTCTTGTGTGTCATTTGTGCTACCTCTGCAGTTATGAAAAGCTCATGTGATTTGCAGAGCCTAGTTTATGATAAGTCAGTGGTTTGGGCATTGGTAGAATTTTTAAGTCAATTACAAAATTTTATTTGATCCAGTCACAATGACTATACTATACAGTTTTGCTACTATTCATAGTGATGTATCTATAATATTGCAAAATGCTAATATTAGACTCACTGTGGTCTTGCTATGACCATTGGACCTGGTATGCGGGGCCAGGGAGCTTATTTGAGATTCCACTGAAGAAATTTTACTGAAGGTATGAAAGTGTCTTAGTTATAAGACCATTAAACCTATGTAATACTATTCCAGACCATGCTTGATAGGATCATGATACAGAAAATATTGTAATGACATTGTATTTGTCCATTTTTTTTTTTTAGATGTGGCCGTCTTGTATATCATATTGGTTGGCCTTTCTCCATCCTAACTTTCTCCTATGTTGAAGAAGCCATTAAGATTGCTTACTGTGAGAAGAAATGTGGAAACTGCTCTCTCATGGTATTTTTCTTAATTATTTTTTACTGGGAGAAAAGAGAAAAATCTTTTAAGAGCTATCTAAATAAGTTAGTGTTTCATGACCAATTAGCTAATCATTGTTTCTGTTGGTGTACTAAATATAAACTACAACAGTAATTTTTATAATTACACACACTTCCTGTTATGCAACATACACTTTCAAACATCTTTTCAAGGTCCATATTGCCGCTTTTATCTAGAAGGATTTCAGAAAATAAATAACAACATAGATCACATATTTCAATTACCACCAAGTGATGTGGTGGGAATATAAATGCTCGAAGAACTCAGTCAACATAAAATGATCTTATTGTAATACCCTGAGCGTGGTTCACAGAAGAACACAGTGAAAGCAAAGCATACGCACCGCATTACCTGAAACGGAATTGGGGTCCAGATAAGTACTCAATTTTTTAAGGACGCGGACTTTGTCAGCTTTTCCAGAAGCTTTTACACTGTCTACGCATTCTGCAGTTGGATTACTACATTTACTTGAAAATGGAATAAGTTTTCTACTCATTACTGATATTTCTTTCCTAGTAAACATGAGAATATTTTTTCCTTATAATAAGCACTATATTTAAATATTGTTTATAAAAAAGATACTCAAGGAGTTTTAACTTTTATTAACTAGACTCTTTCCCCCTCATATTGAGAAGGAAAATAATTGCGAACCGTGTTTGCTTGATAGGGCAGATTGGCAAAACTTAAATTCAGGTTTAAAAACAATTCTGAATTTTATTTGTAAGCTATACTTCGTTCGGGTTTTTTCCCAGCTTTAAAGGAAGTCATCTCAAATTTTAAAGAATCATTTAATTAAATTAGTTGCTGAGGAGCACAATGGGCTAATTACTCTAGTTATGTCATTTTTCACATTTTAATCTTCATAATCCTATGAGGGTTATTTTACTCCTTTTAAAGATGGGGAGACTGAGATAATGCGAATAAAGTATTACCTCAGTGTCTACCTTATACTAAGTGCTTAATAAATGCTAGCTATATTCATTCCTCATATTTTGGGATTATTTCAGTATTTTGCATTTTTGCAAATGCCTAATACTTTAAATATACCTAGTTATATTGAAACAAAGGTAGAAATAATTTCTACAACATGCTCAAAATTTACAAATCATCTATAGAAAGGAATAATTTATTATATGTATCTGATATGCCGAATCGAATTGGAGTTTTTCTATTTCATTGTATCCTAGATGCCACCAATTATATGACACATTATTTTATGTACAATTAAAAAAATGCTGTCAGTTAAAGTAGGACACAAGGCTATCACACCATCAATAGTAGGATACATTCTGATTTCAAAGATATAAAAATACATTGTAGAATCAATGAAATATAGTAATTGGTTCCTTGAAGTTAATTAGACTACTATAGTTATTTGTGTTTGTTTAATCATTGAACATTTAGAACATTACACAGTATATTCTAAAATTTATCAAATTGCATTTAAGTTTTTAATCAAATACTATGAAGTTCTCAAAAGTAATTACAAATAAATGTAGGTTGAGGTTTCGTATTGCATTGCTATATCTATAAATTTTGAGCCTATGATTTGTGGGCACACAAACCAATAAAGAAGGACTTTCAGCAAATTAAAGAATTAGATTCATGCAGAATGGAATATTATGTTCAGTGGACAATGGGCAGTCATTTGGTAATTTCGGCTGATAGCACTACAGTAGAGACACATTAACAAAGCTTTGGTGAAGTTCAAAACATTTCCTGGCATAAGCTGAGGTATGAAAAACTACCGATTTTGAGGAGTTTATTGGCAGTTTTGAATTACCAGAGAAAAATTAGTTTGCCTCAGAATATTATTCTTGATGCATTGTTGATAAAGGTGCAAAAGGTTTCATGTAGGTCAGCTGATTTTAGGATTTGATATTTGGTTGATTTTACCGCAGTCGATTTAAGTTAGTTTAACCAGTGTACTTAGTTTTGCTTCTGTAGATACAAATAACAGTGGTTTAACTTTATTTATTTATTTATTTATTTTTTATTTTTAAAATATTTTATTGGGGAATCGGGGGAATGGGAACAGACAAGTTGCTGTCCTTTTATTCTTCAGTCTAGTTGTGGAGGATGTTGCTTCACTGGCCCAAGCTGGCACCATCATTGTGCTCTTCCTGGGCGAGGCAGATCAGTCGCTGGCTTCTGGACGGCTGCTCACTGCGGCTGCCGGCGCTCACCCTGGCTGCTGGCTACACACGGTAGCCCATGGCAACCCAGTGCCACAGGGGCTGCAGCCCACACCGTCGCCGGCGACCCACAGCAGCCCAGCTCCAGGTCCAGCTGTTTTTCAGCATCTTAGCTGTAGAGGGCAGTGTCACTGGCCCTGGCATCTCAAGCCAGTTCTTAACCAAAGCGCCACTCGGCCGGCCCCCCGGTTTAACTTTATTTTTAAGCCTTATGTATCTCTCAAGTTCCTATTCAGAATTCTTGATAACTTAGGAAATGTTCTTGTTAAGAAAAGGAAAATTTGAATCCTGCTATTGATTTAACTAGTATAGAAGCTGAGGTGAATTGTTGAAATTTAATTGTATTATACCCTATTTTATCTATTTTCAAAACATGAATGTTAATTCGTTTGTAAGAGGCTTGAGGATTCTTTGATTAAGTGCAAACTATGTACTAGGAGCACTTTATGTTAGGTATAGATGGGAATCAAACTTTAATAAAAAGCCTAGGTTTTGAGATTAATATCAGCTTTGTTTTTCATTAGTATGATGCTAGAAAAACAAAGCCAGTTCAATTCTAAATTCTAGTTGGAATTTTATATATGTTAACTCTACAAATCATTTTCCATGCATTCCTGCTAAATCAATAAAGGTGTTGATAAATGATTTATAAATTTTTTCCAGACACTGGAAGATGAAGACTTCTGTAAAAACGTATCTTTGGTTACTGTGAGAAACACAACCGAGGCCCCGCAGCCACGTCACCATCACACGCATGGGCATCAGCACGTCCGGAATGGTCAGCCTTCAGAGAACCAGCAACCAGAAGTGCCCAACGCATCTGAGCATCCCCCTCCTCCAAGCCTCCATCACCACCATAAGCTCAAGCACCCTCACAGACAGGATCACCCAAAGAACTGACATGTGCCATTTCTCAGTTCTCTTTCACACAAGAAACTCTGAGGAAAGAGATGAATAAATCAGTTACTCTGAAAGTTGCCCAAAGATTCAGAGTTGGCTCCTAGGAGCTGATGCTGACATTGTCGACATCTGGTATTTGAAAACACAGGGTCTGCAATCACCTGACAGTGTACAGAAAATCTCCCTTCTTTATGTAGCTGACAGGGACTGTGGGCAGAGGAAAATGTCATTGAATCTTGACAGTGACGTTTGCCTCCAGCTGCCTGACAGGCAAGTCAGCAGCTCCAGCCCACAGAAGCCAGCAGCAATTGAAGTTGAAAAAATAAGGCAGAAATGTGAAAATGACCTTCAAACTAAATATTTAAAATGGGATATACTCCTCAAGTCAGTCTAGACCCAATTTCATTTCCAGCATTTTTATAAGCTACCTAGTTAATAATGATAAAAAAAATAAGAATTGGATTTGTGCAAACATGGAGAAATTTACTATCCTGGCTTCCAAATTTAAAGATTTTTGTCAAAGCAAATTGTGACCCAAACCATTTTTTTTAAATTACAGGGCAGCTGAAAGGTGATTGCAGCATTTGGTTAATATGTCTTTATTTTTCTTTTTCCAGTGTTCTACTTGCTTTAATGAGAACAGGAACATAAACTATGACCTAGGGGTTTCTGTTGGATAATTAGCAATTTAGAAGGGAGGAAGAACAACAAAGACATGTTATTCATTTTTTCTTTACTTATTTCTCAAAACAACATTATCTTTGTCTTTTTCATCTTACAGTTTTAACTAATGAAATTTTTAAAGAAAGAAGTGAATTCTGTCTTTTAAGATCCAGAAATACTCAACATATGAGTATTTTGCTATGACTACATTTGAAATATCCATTTATACTTTTTTATATCTAAGACTTGTATCTTGATTTTTACTATCACATATGAATGAAAGCTTTATATATTGTTTTATCTATCTGGTATCACATCACACTCTTTAAAATCTGAGAATGCCTGTCTTGAAAGATGTAAGAGGAAAGATAAAAGAATGTTGTCTAGCTCTTGATTGCTTAGAAAGTATTTCCGTAGTCAATGATGGTTCAATAGGTAAACTACACCCTATAAACCTGAACTCCTTTATGGTTAATACTGCTAAGCGAGAATGCAATACAAAGTTGGCCAAAGTGTGGATTTGTTTCAATAAACTCAGTAAAAAAAAAAGTTTAAAGCTGTCTTTTATTCATTGTGATTATTTAGGCAGTATGTTATATTGACTCTAAGTGGAAGTGAATTTTTTCAACTGCTTTTAAAGAAATTAAACAGCCACTAATGAGTTGACTACTGTACTCAAAACCGTTTACGTTTAAGGTGAGACTCTTTGCCAACAGAAAGGCGTTGCTCTAACTCGTGAATGGTATTCCGAAGAGCTGCAATCTCCTTGTTTTTTTCTTCTTGAAGATGTTGAAGCTTCTACATGAAGCAGAAAAATTCCGTTATTGCAATCCAGAAATAATAAGATTAAGTATGGGGAACAACAAAACAACAATAAAAACTATACTTCTGGTTTAAGTAGAAGTAGGTACTAAAAAAGACACCTTATTTTGAAAGGTCTATCATTTTATTTTTGTGGGATTTAATGGGGTGAAACTGTTTTAAAGGCTATAAATATACACATTGGCATCACTTGTTGTAGTTTGTTCCCTTCTCCCTATATAGCTTAAAGTTGTAAAGCACAAATGAAAGAGTTGAATAAAAAGAAAATCTACCATCTGAGTGCCTAAGTAACTTCAGAATCGTAAGTCAGCCATAGTTCAAAATATATTATGGAATTCCTTAGATGGTCCAAAGGGTCAGAGGATTTCTCTAGTGGTTTAATTTACTACTAAGATTTATTTGTTTAAATTGAAAGTGACCTTTAAAGATTATTCAAAATTAATACTTTTCTGATTGTATGATATATTTTAAGAAAAATTGTTTAGTGTATTGTTAGTAAATATTAGACAACTTTTATGGAAACACATTAGTGTGTTTATTTTCTTAACAGCCAAGGAAGAAAAACTTACCCTTCTGTAGATGCTCTGTGGCAAAACAGTAGAATCTGGATATGATTTTGGTTTTGTTTGAACTCTTGCTAGTTTGGCATCAAACTGAGTCAAGTTTAAAAAGAAAGTTATTGAGAACATTCTGGTTAAACAGTTAGAAACAATTGCTTCTATAAATATAAGTATAATCTGTTATACCCTTTTATATATAATCTGTCATTTAAGTGTATTCTCTGTGTAACAGAAGATAGAAAAGTCTTTAAGAAAGAGCAAAGAACACCCAAAGAAGATTAACCGTGGCTGCATGTCAAGATTACCTAGGGAACTTTTTAGAAGTACTAAATATTGGGCAGAGATTCTGGGTAGGGTCAGCATCATCTTTTTCTCAAGACATCAGGTGTTTCTATCATGTGGGGATCAGAATCTAGTTAAAAGGGTTGAGAATCTAGTTACCTTAAAGATAGAAAAAAATATATTCACATCACTTTGTACTTTTGTAAAGAAAATGTGCAATCAATAGTCATGGGAGGAAAACATACACACCCTTCTGTATAGACTTTGAGGCTGAATATTAGAATTTGGATATGATTTTGTTGATTTAGTTTGACCTCTTGCTGGTTTGACATTAAATTGAATCAGGTTAAAAAAATTCTCAGGCCATTCCTACAGGTCTTATTTTTTGCAAAATCTTCCATTATAATTTCTCCCTTCAGGTTGAGTTTAGTGTAGCCTCTCTGTGGACTAAGAATAAACTCTGTGAGATTCTGTTCTACTTTGGGAAGAGAGAGGGATAGTTACAATGAAAATAAATAGCAAAAAGTGTTCTGTATATCAGTCAAACACCAGACTTGGGCTAACAGGGCCCCAGGTGGCTAACAATGCACATTCCCAATCCATGCATTAGAAATTGATGGTAGGTCTTGAAACATGCCCTATGGTGTCTCAGTTGGCCACTTGGCCCTCCCTGGGGTTTGTGGGTACACTTGACCAGAAGGCAGTAGCAGCAGCAAAGAGCCTCTAAAATCAACGAAGTCCCCTTTTACTCAATGATTATGCAGTCTTCACTACTGTGCCTCACCAAGAACCCCAGGGATACCAAACTTTCAGGGACATGAAAACAAAGTTAATCTTAACTAAGCGGGTGTATTCTGACAAAATGAGGTAAAGTGGGAATCAGGCTTGGAGAAAGTGATGAAAAAACGGTAGAAAGGGAGATGGGTAAAATTTTAAAAAAAATTTAAAGGACAAGTATATTGTCAAAATATCAATATCTTTGAGATTTTTGACATCTGGTTAAACAACCTACTGAAAACGCTTTCCAGCCAAGAATGAACCTCAGCCTTTGAGATGCCCTATATGAAGTTCCTTTAAGTTTTTCTCTTTTTAAAATTTTTTTTTAAAAGATTTTTATTCGGGAATTGGGGGGATGGGAACAGTGCTGGGGAATTGGGGAACAGGAACAGACAAGTTGCTGTCCTTTTGTTCTTTGGTCTAGCTGTGGAGGACGTTGCTTCACTGGCCCAAGTTGGCACTATCATTGCGCTCTTCCCGGGCGAGGCAGATCAGTCGCCAGCTTCTGGACGGCTGCTCACTCCGGTTGCTGGCCGCTCACGCTGGCTGCTGGCTACACGCGGTAGCCCATGGCAACCCACTGCCACAAGGGCTGCAGCCTATGCCGTCGCTGGCGACTCGTGGCAGCCCAGCTCCAGGTTGAGCTGTTGTTCAGCATCTTAGCTGTGGAGGGCAGTGTCACTGGCCCTCATATGTGGGATCCAAACCGGGGCCCTCTGGCGTCCCAAGCCAGCTCTTAACCAATGCGCAACTCGGCCGGCCCCCTTTAAGTTTTTTTAAAAATCTGGTTTGTCTGCTCTATGATATGTATTTTCCTACACATTTAAGGAGAAATTTGTCTCTTTTTATCTTAAAGAAAAAGGAATTTCTAGTTGGTTCACCAGGGTTCACCAATTTCTGCCGAGAAGAGTGACTTTAAGGATTAGAACACTCTCCCCACAGCTAGAATGGAGGTGCTATGAAGCCTGCATAGACTCAGCTGTAAAATGCAGGTATTTCCTGAGTTATCTGACTCCTGCTCGCAGAGGAAACAATACCCACTCTGGAAGCCAGGACCTCTTGAATGACTGAAGAGTCCCACCTTCAGGCCAAGTGCTGAAAGACAGTGTAGCTAACAGTTATATGGGTTTGAGCACTGTGTGTGATGGAGAATGAACGTGTGTGAAGCCCTCTCACAGAACTGTTCCTACTCCTGAAATTTCTCTCACTGTGATGAAAGATAACCAAAGTGTGGTCTACACTAAGGGATGCATCCTCACATTTAGCAGAGTCTTAAACATTTACCTCTAGCTGTAGTTTGATTATTTTGCTTTGGTTTTCCTTTTCTTGAGTCCTTAATTTTGCATTTAATTCTGAAATTTCCACCTCTTTTTTCTCTATCAGTTCTTTATTCTTTTCTTCCATTAATTCAACTGAATAAAACAAAGATAAATAAAATTAATTCACCTTAACATTTCCAAAATCTTATAAGCTTATATTTATTTGCTATTTTAAACAATCCACAAGAAAGTAAATTTTATTAATAAAAACAGATAGTATTTTAGAAACTGTTTATATGCAAGGTAGCTTTTAGGTATTTTTGACAAGCTCCTACAAAATGCTTGAAACACAAAAGTCATCCACTGAATGATTTTAAACAAATAATCTAATTTGGACTCTTAAACATCAATGGCCTAGAGAATAAATAGGAGATTCAGTGGTTAAAGAAGGATACAAAACCTGTGCTCTTAGGTACAGAGGGCCCCAAATTACTCTAGAGCTACATCAAGCACCTGATATCCTCTATTCCATACAATTTGGCCTCTCTGATATTCATACCATGTCCTTATGCTTCTTCAAACTTCCTCTTCTCTCAACTTCCTTATTCCTGTAAATGACACCTTGAGGATAGGAGCCTCAAGGAAACCTTTGATTTTAGGGAGAAAAGTGTCAATTAATCTACAACAAGCCCCCCAAATAAGGGACTCCATTCACAACTAATCCACTACTTACTTACTTAGTTTCAGGCCTCATTTTTCCTCAGCTGGACTCTGTGTTTAGACTATCACCAGCCTCTACCCCCCTGAACACTATTGCCAGGTTAGTCTTCCTAAAGCATACCTCTAAGTATGGCCATCACTTTCTCAAAAACAATTTGAGAAGTCAAAGAATCCAGCATTAGGGCCGGCCGAGTGGCTCAGTTGGTTAAGAGCTCACTCAAGAGTGTGAGCTCTGAGCAACAGCAGTTCGAGTCCTGGCCCGAGCTGAGCAGCCGCTGAGCTGCCAGCAGGTGGCAGGATGTCTCAGCCAACAACAACAACAACAAAAAGAATCCAGCACTAGCTACAGTTTTTGGCCTTTGTCTTGCCAAACCTTTCTGTGTAGTGCAAAGAAAAGGTAAGAAATGGACAATCATTCCCTAGCACGTCTCATGCCTACCCCTCTGTATGTCTTGGCTTTTATTTTCTCTTTGTCTAGAAGCTGTTTTTCTCATCTTCACCAGTCAACCTTACCCATATTCAGGATTTAGGAGCAGGGCCTAACGCTAAGGTCCCATCTCAGCCTGGGATTAGGCAAAGTCCAGAAGGATGTATTTAGCTATCCAAAACCTTAGAGAAATGGACTTCAATCTGGTCTCAGTCTATATCTATCATGTGCCTGGAGGCAGCACTGCTGATGATATGAATGCAAAGAAGTTGTGGTTAAAATAAGAACTAAAGCACTGAAATGGGTCCATCTTCAGATACTACATTGGAGGACAGGTGTGTGATTTGCTTCATCATAATTCCCCTGAAAGGTTTTGTTAAGATTATGTTGGCCTTATGAAATTAACTGGAAAATGTTTCCTTCTCTTTTTTTGTTAATCCTCTGAAAGATTTTGTGTAAGATTGGCATTATTTTTCCATAAATGTTTTGTAGAATTTCACCAGGAAAGCCATCTGAGCCTGGAGTTTTCTTTGTGGGAAACATATTTATTATAGATATAATTTCTTTAATAAACATAGAACAATTCAGATTTTCTATTTCTTTTTTTAAATTATTTTTTATTGTGAAATACACATTTTTTAGAATTAGTTTCTGCTGTACAACACAGTGCAATAGTTATACTTTTTACCCCTCGAGGTGACAACCTCCCTCCTCCAATCCACTGCCCCACTTCCCCCCCAATATCATACATATCTATTACAATTCCCTTGACTCCACTCCCACACTATACTCCATGTCCCATGACTATATCTATCTATCTATCTATATATATATCTATATTCACTTATAGTTGACATACAATATTATACAACATCAGCTTCAGGTGTACAGTGCAGTGATCAAGCCTCTACCCCATCCATGATGCAGTCTCCCTAGCAAGACATGTGACCACGTGACACCCTACAAAATATTTACAACATTATTAATTATATTCCTTGAACTGTCTTTCATGTCCCTGTGGCAATATTGTAGTTACGTATTTATGCTGTCTAATCCCTTCCCCTTCTCCCTCATCCCCACCTGCTCCCAACTAGCAGCCATCAGTTGTTCCTCTATATCTCTGTGACCATTTCTGTTTACTTTGCTCGTTCATTCAGTTTTTTAGATTCCACATATAAGTGAACTCATATGGTATTTGTCTTTCTCCAACTGGCTTATTTCACTTAACATAATAGTCTCTAAGTCCATCCATATCGTCCCAAATGGTACGATTTCATTTTTCTTTATCAGATTTTCTATTTCTTCTTGTGTGCTTTTTTCCCCCTCAAAGATGTCTAATTCATCAAAAATTTCAAATATATTGGCAGAAAGATGTTTGCTATGAAGTTAATTATGGGGTTCACTTTTTAAAATTTGAAGTGATTTTCTCTTTCTCATTTCTGACATTATTTGTACTTTCTCCATTTTTCTTGATCAGTCTTGGAGTTAATAAACTTTATTAATCTTTTCAAAAAAATTTGGATGTGGGCCAGCCGAGGTGGCACACTGGTTAAGAGTTGGCTTGGGCCACCAGCTCTGAGCAGCAGGGCCTGGTTCGGATCCCACATGAGGGCCAGTGATGCTGTGCCCTCTATAGTTAAGATGGTGAACAACAGCTCAACCTGGAGCTGGGCTGCTGTGAGGTGGGACGGCGTAGGCTGCAGTGGGGCTGCAGTGGGCTGCCATACGCTACCGTGAGCAGCAGGCAGCTGACGTGAGCTGCCAAGAGCCGCCGTGATCAGCTGTCCAGTGCCCAGTCACCAATCTGCCTCAGCTGGGAAGAGCGCAATGATAATACCAACATGGGCCAGTGAAGCGACGTCCTTCACGACTAGACTGAAGAACAAAAGGACAGCAACTTGTCTGTTCCCCTTCCCTGATTCCCCAACGCTGTTCCCCTCCCCCGAATTCCCCAAGAAAATCTTAAAAAAACCCACAACCTCCCACCCCCCAAAATTTGGATCTGATTTTCTTTATTATGTGTTTGTAATTGCATTATTATCTGTCTTCCTTCTTTCTAATTTCTTTGGGCTTAGTTTGATTTCTTTCCCCTAACTTCTTGATATAGGTATTTAGATAATTGATTTTTAACATTTTCCAACATCTTATTTAAGGTTATAAATTTACCTATAAACACAGCTTTATTTGTGCCATGCAAGTTTTGATGTGTAGACCAGGTAATTCAGTTCAAAACATTTTCTAATTTCCTTTAGGATTTCTCCTTCGATCCATAGGTTATTCAGAAATAATTTATAAACCTATAGGGATTTTATAATTATCTTCTTCTCAGAGGACTCAAAGAAATTGCAAAATTCTTTTCTAAAGTGGCTGTATAATTTTTTAGTCCCACCAGTAAGGGATCAGAGTTCTAGTTGCCCCACGTCCACATCAATATTTGGTATTGACAGTTTTTAATATTTTAGTTCTAAAAGGTTCAAAGTGGTATCTTTTGGTTTTAATTTACATTTTTTTTTTAATTGGGGAATTGGGGGATGGGAACAGACAAATTGCTGTCCTTTTGTTCTTCAGTCTATTTGTGGAGGACATTGCTTCACTGGTCCAAGTTGGCACCATCATTGCGTTCTTCCCAGGGAAGGCAGATCAGTCGCCGGCTTCTGGACTGCCACTCACAGTGGCTGCTGGCCGTCTCACTGGCTGCTGGCTACACACGGTAGCCCATGGCAACCCACTGCAGCAGGGGCTGCAGCCTAAGCCGGCTCTGGCGACTCATGGCAGCCCAGCTCCAGGTTGAGCTGTTGTTCAGCACCTTAGCTCTAAAGGGCAGTGTCACTGGCCCTCATATGTGGGATCTGAACCAGGGCCCTTTGGTGTCCCAAGCCAGCTCTTAACCAACATGCCACTCGGCTGGCCCTTGATTTGCATTTTCTTATGTACTAATTATGTTGAACATGTTTCATGTGCTGATTTTCCATCTGTATACTCACATCTCAGGGGAAGCATCCAAATATTTTGCATACTTTCTTATTGAGTTGCTTGACTTATTATTGCATTCTTAAGATTTCTTTTATATTTTGGATATAAGTCCTTTATCAGATATGCATTTACAAGCATTATCTCCTAGTCTCTGACCTGTCTTTTCATTTTCTTAACAGTGTTGAAGGACAGAAGTTAATAATTTTGGAGAAGTTCAGTTTAGAATATTTTTCTAATAAAGATAAAAATTTATTGTGTTTTTTGTTTCTTTCCAAGAAGTTGTGCCTAACTCAAGGTCACAAAGATTATCTTCTATGCATTCTTTAAGCAGTTTTATAGATGTAAGTTTATATTCAGACCAGTTACCCATTTCAAGTTGATTTTTACATATGATATGCATAAATATGGTCTCTTTAAGAAAAGTTTTTAATACCCTTATGAAACTAGTTAGTTCTCAATATAGGTTCAGACCTGCTTTACTGAAGGAAGAAAATTTCATTAGTGAAATTATATTCAATATGCTGAGCCTATAAATATCAAAGTTAATTATATATTTTATATTAATTTTATAAGGACATTAATTGCTTCATATTAAATAATATTAAGTGCAAACATCATGAATCCAATTTAGAAATGTAATTTATATCACATAAATATATAGGAAGGTACAAAACCTAAATTAAAAAGTATCAAGGCAGTGTTCATTCAAGAATACTGGCTATCACTGCAAAAAGTTTGAATGTTCATTTAAATGATGTCTTAGAATTTAGTAAATTAAAAATAAAAACTTACCTTTTTTCTGCATATCCTGAGAAAGTTTCCTTATTTCTATTTTATGTCCCTCCTCTTTGATTTTCATTTCACTCATAAGTCTGGCAACATTATTTTTATATTCCTAAAGATTAAAATTATATTCATGTTTCAATTTAAATATGTATATACAAGTTTTGATTAATTACAAAGGTGAAATTTTCAAATTTTATATTAATTTTTGACATGCAATCAAACCTAGAGAAGAGAGATATTGTTCATTGTTTGAATAATCCGCTTTGAGAAGGACTGATTTCTGGCTCAAGGAGATAGATATCATCTGGATAATGTCTTTTTTACCTTTGTTTTCTGAATACTCATCACCAGTGTTTAGCATATCATAGATACTTAAAATATTTTGTTTAATTGTATGAATAAATGCCATGACATTAAAATATGTCCAATAAAAGCCAAAGCTATATTTTAGAGCTAACAGTAGGCACCGTTCGATAGACAATAAGCTCACCCTATGGTAGGATGAATCCCTTCGAAACTGGGCTGAACTTCTGTTTCTGAAAATTATATAAACATCCTTAATTCCCAGAAGGAGGTTAAGCACAACCAAAGTGAAGGGTTAATTTCATGACAGGCTAGAAAAGGATGGATTTTGGGTTTGAAAAGTGCTCAGCAGGTGCCTGAGATTAGCTTTTTAGGTTGTTGAAGCTTAGCGGGGTGATTTATGCTAATACGGAGAGGGGCATTGAGAGAGGTGTTGGGAGAGAAATTCCCCAAAGATAAAATTTACAATTTTCCCAGTGGTATGTTCCTACATAAAGAAATCACTCCCAGGCAGAAGAAAAGACAAGTAGGAAGAACAATGAAGTCGGATAGTAAGAAAGACAATAATGAAGGCAAAAGGTCAAGAAAAGCCTCTAAACACCATAAAAGACAGGGGCTTTGTTTTCCTAATAATCACTGTTGTGTTCCCTATAATCACTAGTGTATATGTCTTGATATATATTTGTTGAATGAATAAGAGTGCCAATAAGAATTATTTAAGTCAGAAATTCTTAGATTAGACCCAGTGAATGGGCTTTCAAGGATCCATTAACTTCCTGAAATCGTATGCAAAATTAGACACATACATATGTGTGTGTGTGTATCCTTGAACATTTTTCTCAGAGAGGGTTCACAACTTTTAGTAGATATTCAGTGGTACTAAAGACATAAAACAAGTCACGATCCATTGGCTTAGATGGCTATAATTAAAAACAGAGGTACATTCATCCAGATTACACAAATTCAAGGGGATATAGTCTAGATTCCTATTTGTGCTACTTATCCTTCCAGAAAACTTGCAGAAATGGCCAAACCTATCCAACTACTGTCTTTGATTAAAGTTCGGCAGATGAATATAGGGGTGAATCTCATAAATTGCCATTTTTCATATGCATGCATCTTGATTTCTAGATGGGAAATTACTGAGTGGCATTTATAAACCATTCCTGACTCAAGTGGGTGTCCAAAGCAGTTGCTGCTCTGAGAACAAGAGACAAATCTATGTATCCTTTCATTCCGCATTGACTTTGTCACCTGAAGATGCCACCACTAAGGGATGCCCTTGGGAGAGAATTGGTAATCCATATAATGCTCCCTTCATTTAGATGGTGCAATAAGATTGCAATAGATTACTCAAAACATAAAGATTAAAGACTCTTTATAGTAAAAAAGTTTAAAAGTGCTAGTTAATAGAGTATACTCTAGAATAAAAACTCTATTAATGTAATTAAAAATGTAGCAAAATAGTTACATCTCTTTGTGGTAGAAAGAAAAAGTGCAGCGATTTAGTAAATTATAGTCTGAAAAAGATTAGGGTTCTCAAAATTTCTATTTCTTAAAAAATTTTTGTTTATTAAAAATTCTGGTACACACATGCACACCTATACATGTTTACTCAATAAATTTTTTTTTCTAATTTGAGAACACAAATGCTCTACAGGAATTTGATTGATATAAAGATATATAAACTCACCTGTTCATGAGATTTTAACTTTTCTTTCATAAGATCAGCATTTCTTTTCAGTTGTTCATTTTCACCTGTGTAAAAATCAGAGAGCATCCTAACTTACAGCACTTTTCAATTAATATGACTCTGTTTAACATTTCAAGTTTTCACTCATGTATACATTCAACACATACAAACAGCATCTACTATATATCTAGTACATGTGCACAGAATGCATGACACTGAGAATGGTGAAACAAAAAATAATTGTTGCTTTTCAAAGAATTTACAGCCGATTGCTGAGACAGATGTGTAAATAGTTCTATATTATGATAATTGCTCGGTAATGCAGTGTGTCTAAAATGCACCTGTGTCAGAAAAGCTTAACTCAGCTTAAAGTCAGGAAAGGATTTACAGAAGAGGAACCACTTGAGCTAAGACTTAAATGATAAGGTTACTTCATGATGGAGAAGGTCATTCCAGATACAGAAAACTGTACAGAAGGCTTTGGGTTTGAGTGGCTACAGCACGTTTGGGGAAATTACAATTCAAGTACAGTATTGTTGGAGTGTAAACCGTGAGAAGGATGTGCTTAAATAGGTTGGGGCCATATCCTAATAGGAGGTAGACATATTCTATGTGAATGACTGAATTTTATTTCATAGGTTACAGAGTCATCAAAGAATTTTGAACAGTGAAATGAAATGATTCCTTATAATGTTAAAAGGATTATCTGGCAGTGTAGAGGATGAATGGGAGGGTTTTGACTCTAGAGGAATGGATATCAATAAAAGTAGATCAAGTATGAAATAACAGGAGCCTAAATCAGGCCAGTGGCAGTAAGAGACAAAAGGAAAATGAAGAAAACTAGATGATGGAATTACCAGCAGACTTAGCAACTGACTGGATAATAGAAGCAAAAGAGAAAGGGCCTACAACCAAGATTACTCTACCTAGCAAAGCTATCATTTAGAATTGAAGGACAGTTAGAGAGTTTCCCAGACAAAAAAAAGCTAAAGAAAAGGTGTTCGATGTTTTCCAATTTATAAAAGTATTCTTGTTTGTTTTAGTAAGTGAAGCATCTGTGAAGGGAAACTAATCATCTTTCCCCTACTACTCACCTTACTGAAGTTATCAGTGTTAACAGCTTCGTCTGTATCCCTTCCCTACTTTTCTCCCAGCGTATACAATTGTATATAAACATCCCATACATTTCTACTGGTTTTATTTGTTTTTATCAATATAAAATTGTACTATACATGTTACTTTGCAAAGAATTTATTTCCTAAAAGTGGATATTCCTTCAAGTCTTTAATTTTTCTATGCATGTATGTAAATACATTTTTATAAGTTTACATAAATAGGATATTATACATGCTGAGATACTTTTGTGACAGTCTTTTCTCTTTCTTTCATTTCTTTATGCCTCTTCCTCTCCCTCATTTTTTCTCCTTTCTCCCTTCGCCTCCACATCACTGGTGTAATTATGTATCCTTCTGTTTTTCTCCATGCTCTTAACCTCTGGATCATGCATATGCATACACAAATACACATTCCCATTTTTTATTCATATCTTTTGCCCATTTAAAAATTTTTATTTATATCTGCTGGTCAATTTGTAGAGCTCATTGTATATCGTAGATATAAACTACATTGGTATTTGAAAACATGTTTTTTGACTTTGGTGTGACAAAACAACATGTCAACTTCTTTTTTCATTGTTGTTGGTGTTTCTGTTGTATTCTTGTTAAGAAACTCTAGTAAGTCTGTTTTTTCTTCATATAGTGTCTGAGGGTCCCAGGTTGGTTCACAGCTCCAGGTTGTACATGTTGTGTCCTAGAGTTTCTTTTAAGTTTTGTTTTTTTTCTTCACTAAAGTCTTTTATCTATCTGGAATTTATTTTTGATGGTGAGAAAGAGCCCAAGTTTCTTTTCGTCCAGATGGAAAGCCAGTTGTGCCAGTACCATGTGTTAAAATGTTATTCTCTTTCTAATAAAGTGAAATATTCCTTGTGTCATATATTACATTGACAAATACTGGGGCCTGTTTCTACATTTAGTTCTTTATTCTTTCAATTTCTATGCCAATACCATGTTAATTTCATTCTAACAGCTTTAGAGCATGTTGTTATCTGGTAATGGAAGTCCCTCTTCCTCACATTCTTCTTATTTTTCATAGTTTTCTTGTTTATCTGTTTCTTTTGTCAAATGAACTATAAGATTATTCTATATAATCATTTATCCCACCCCAAATTTAGTATTTTAATTAAAATTGCATTAAATGTGTATATTAACTTCAGGAAAATGGACATTTTAACAATGATTATAAGTCTTCCCTTTGCCAGAAAAATTGATCAAACAAGCTAAATGTTATACTACTTGGACATTATCTGGTTTGGCATATCTATAAGTATGCTAAACAAAACCACATGATTTATCTGTGAACTAAAGCCATCTATTGAAGACATAGCTAACCTCCTTAATACTTTATATTTCAGTTGGCTCTTTGTTGGCTTTCATCTGTAGTGCAATCAACATATGGTTATTGTTAGCACTGCTTTGTTCCATCATCCTACCAGATTCTAGGTTCGATTTGGAAACACATATTCCCACCCTGGCTACTTCGTTAAGGTGCAAGGCTCTTGCTACTCTTGCTGGAGTGGCCATAAAGTCCAATAGCATTTTCCACCACTGTAGAACCCACCTGGTCCTGATATTTGACAAGTAAACTTTCTCTTACCTAGCCAAAATCCACTTTTATCTCTTGGGTTCTAATAATTTTGCAATGTATTTTCTAAAATTGGTTATTCTCTTTCAGTATCAAACTGGGAGGAAAATCTTTAGGTTTGCAGTTGCATAGGGCCCTGCACTCAGAAGGTGCCAGCTTGGTTGAATACTCTGCCATTAATGTCTTGAAATTCTTAATAATTTTGTCTTTGAATTTATATTTGTCAGTAAATTCCAATGGGACGAAGATCATGCTTGTGAGCAGAGAATACACGTGTGTGAGCAATATTCATGCCTTGCCGCCACATTCATACACAGCATTTTCAATGCCCCATGAACACAGAATTCCGGTGGACTCATGATGCTTTAGAGTTCAGCAAGACCCAAAGGTAAAAGTACAAGGTCAGCGTGTTCTATCTACAACTAAGTAAGCAAGAGCCCTGAAAGATCTGAGAGGGCACACTTTCCCTTTGAACTAGAACTTGCTTCAAATGCAAAAGGCAAGCAATGGCATTCTAAGAAACACAAATGACCAAGCAACTCTCTATAATATCCTTTTTTAACTTCTGTACCTCCCTCTAGTAGCCAACCAATTATGCTGAAAATGATGACACAGAAGGAAAGGGAAAGAGGGAAAATTCACAGTTCCTTTTCCTTTCGTTCCTTCTACTGCTAGGAAGCTGACAGTAGAGTGTTGGTAGAACATGTACATATCAAGAAGTAAAATGAATAAAAAAATGGCTGAGGTAGTTTTGTGCAGCATTTCCACTTTTTTGGTGAGAATGAAATAGATATGCATGTACAGCTATGAAGTATTAATTGTGTACTTTTGTGATTCTGCATGAGTTAAATGCTATTATCTTTGTATTTAAAAATAGTTTACACAATATAAAGATAAATGGCAAAATTCATGCTCATAATTAAAATTTTTATTTATTTATATTTCCTTAGAGCAACATTAAATAACAACAACAAAAAAACACAAAAAAAAACAAGTTGAGGGGGACCACAGAAGAAAGAAAAAAGCTTTATGTTTTAGAACCTGTAATGTTATATTTTTCCTGATTTTTGAACATGGGGACCCATATTTTTATTGTGCACATATCCCTGAAAATTAAATATCTAGCCTTGTTCATAGGTTTTGTTCTTTAATTTCCGTTTGATGCTCTTCTAACAAATTTCTTCTAGAAGGAGGCAATTTTTAAATAATTAAGATTCTGAAATATATATTCACAACAGATAATTTTCCCATACAAAAGATGATTATAGAAACATAGCATTCTTCCAATGATATACTAGAAGCTAAATGTCAAATTATTGTAGGAAATCTTTTTCACATTACTGTATTTTCCCATGTATAAGATGCTCCTATGTATAACATGCACCTTAATTTTGGGGCCCGAAAATTGAAAAAAAATGTACTACATAAAGTTATTGAACTCACTCAAGTTTTATTCATCATAAAATTCATACACCTCCTCATCACTGTCAAAACTCCCAACCATTAGCTTGTCCTCATCTGTGTCTGATGACGAATCACTGTCTTCATATAGTGCCTTGTCCTCAGTTCCATCTATGGCATTTGAAATCTACAACTACTGTATAAGACGCACCCCATTTTTAGACCCCAAATTTTTCAAAAAAAGCTGTGTCTTATACATGGGGAAATATGGTATGTTGAAAAGTATGTCCACATTTTTCAAACAACTTTTTTTTTTTTTTTTTTTTAGCTGAGCCATTCTGCTACCTGTTGGCAGCTCAGTGGCTGCTCAGCTCGGGCTGGACTTGAGTCAAACAACTTTTAATTTAAGCAATAATTTTTTCTTTAGGAATAACTGATCACAGATTATTCTACTTTCTCAGATTATTATCTTAAATAGAATAGTGCTGAGCTATGTGCTATTGCCCTTTTTAAAAACTTCTGATCAATGATCAATTTTGATTAAATCATTTTGCTTAGTATAATTTTGTACAACAAAGTTGTACTATACATAACAATGTCTTCCTTGAAACCTACCCTGATAGAATATAAAGGCATAAATAAACTCAAGTTATTCAGATTCAGTTCAGACATGATAAAAACAATATTAAGTTGCCAGAAATTATTTTTACAACTGGTAAAAATAAGCTTGAATTCTACTGATTTTGGAGGTGCTCTGTATTTGCAGCTGATTTCATGGATCTCTCTTGTCTCCCTATGACTGCTCATGTGTTTGAATTCTTTTTTTTTTTTTTTAAAGATTTTATTGGGGAATTAAGGGAGGGGAACAGTCTTGGGAAATTGGGGAAGGGGACCAGCCAAGTTGTTCTTCTTCAGTCTTCATTGTGGAGGGCGCCAGTCGCCATCTGGCTGCCTGTCAGCAGTTCGTGGCCTCTAAGCTCAAGGTGCTGTGTTTAATCTTAGTTGTGGGTCAGCATAGCCACCATCCCATGCGGGAGTTGAACCCAGCAGCCTTGTTGTTTAGAGCGCACGCTCTATCCACTGAGCCATCCGCGCAGCAGCTCAACTCAAGGTGCTGAGTTCAGTGTTAGTTGTGGGTGGGTGTAGCCCACCATCAAACAGGCAATCTTGTTACACCAGCTGAGCCATCCTGCCACCTGTTGGCAGCTCAGAGACAGCGTCACTGGCCCATGTGGGAATAGAACCGGCAGCCCTGTTGCTCAGAGCTCGCACTCTTAAGCCAACTCTTAACCAACTGAGCCACTCCGCCGGCCCCGTGTTTGAATTCTTAAAATAGATTCCTGAATTTCATTTGATCTGGACTGGTTATATGGTGATAATTTTTCTTGAATGGAGAATAATCTCTGAATTTTGTTTTCTTTGCCCTAGTAGTAACCACTTGCCATAAGTTAGAAGGCATGACACCACTATCTTTCATACAATGAATTACTGGGGTTCTCCTAAACTAGCATATAGAATAATATGCATAGTAAAATACAAGAAAAATTCCTATTATTTGATATATTGTGATAAATCATACTCCATTTCTAATCAGCCATGTCCATATCCTAAACTCCAAATACACATTTATTTCAAAGACAGGATAGATCCATTCTTCAAGTTATAAAGACCAAATTTGGGGGATAGGAGATAGGAGAATCAAGCAACAAGACATAAAAGCCCATATTATGAAAGGATGCCAACGCTTTTGCACAAGCTGCATGATGGGCCCTTGCCTCTCTCCACCCTGATGAACAGCATATCAAATGTAATTCCTTAATATTGCTTCATGACTTTTCTTCTCAGTGTCAAGTTAGCAGTAATAACAGGAAGAGCTTCTTTGGTCCCTGGCAATGACATCATCTCAAAAAATATGCTTAACTTGATCATCTAATCACTCATGAGAATGAGAAAGACTTAAGTTTTCCCTTAAGCTATGAAATTCCAAATTTGTTGCCCCAAATGGTTTAATACCTTGGCAAGAGGGACCAACCACTTTTTCACATGTAACTGATGAGAAGTTAGCAGGCAATAGACTGGCAATGTAAGTAACAAAATCTAAAAAGTAGTGACACACAGATGTGGTATTCTAAACTAAAAGTCTTCAAACTTTTACAATTGTATGCCCTCTTAAAAATAATGAGCATGTACTCCCCAATTCATGTCTATTTATTTATAAATTATACATGTCTATATATGCTATATTTTAATTGTATATAATTCTTAAAAGAGATACAAGTAGAAATTAAAAAGGTGAACTAAGGAGAAAAATGTTAAATTATTTTAATATTATTTAAAGTATTATAAAACTTTAATTATTGAATTATTACTAATGTTAATAGATGTTAAGTGAGACAATGGAACTGAAAATGCATCAATAATTTTTACAGTATAGATTTAACTCTTTGATACTGAAATTTGAAACCTGTCTTCAATATTCAGATTGTTTTTGATACTTGATTTTAATAGAACAAACGCATCACTGGCTGTACTTAACTATAAATCATGATACTATTTTTCACTCTTAAACACCAATTACACAATTGGCATTTGAAATTTTGTCAAATATCTACCTTCTTTCATGTTACTTGTTCTTATAAGCTTCTCAACAGGTTTCTTTTTTTAAACAAACATATAACAAAAGGGCTTAAAATCACTGAGAATCATTGATCACTCTTTGAATTTAGTGTTCCATTGCCAAGTTTAATGTGTGAGTGAAAATAGTTAAAGTTAACATATTTTCAGCTCTCAAATCATTTAATGATGGAACCATTTCTAATACTCCATTTGAAAATCTTGCTATAGATAAATTTTCTCCCTACAGAAGTTACTTGGCCACCATTGGCTGACATTTCATCAGGTATGATAGATTTTCATTTTTAACCTTTTAATATGTCTGATGAAGAACTTGTACAGGGGTAGAAGTGACAGCTCTGCTACTTCCTTTTTGTTGACTTGTATTTGTATTATTAATATGATCATTAATCTGCATATTATTTCTTAAAGCTGCTTGTCCATTTTGAAAGGTTTTTTTTTATTGTAAGTAGCTAATATAATATAGAAACCCAGGCACATGTAAACTATACCATATATCAGTGCGTTGAGACTGGACAAAAAACAAAGATGCAGCTGTTCAGTTTTAGAACTCACATTCTGCTTGGGAGAAGAGAAATCTTGTGTATGTATCATAAATGATGCATAATTGACATACAGAGAGAGGAAGGGATAACACTCCATTATTAAATATTCATTATATTATTTGTCTTGGTTTTCAGATAAAAATAATTGTAAATAGAAATTCCAATGTTTTCTTTCTGCATCTCAATGCATCATCTTTTACGTAGCCCATAAGCCCCTACTGAAAAGATGGATGAGAGTAAAGGGAGGTATCATTTCTCTTACAGTAGCTGAAGAAACTCTTAAGCCTAGAAGGTAACTGATTCACAAGCTCAAACAATGTTATCAAGACACCATGTCCTTTTAGTCTCTTCTTTCTGCTTATCCTCAATGTTGTCATAACTTTCAGGCTGGAAACAAGAAATCTGCAATAAATTCAGGTATTATATGCAGACTTATCAACAACCAGAAGAATACAGGTCATCTTTAGTTTTGGGAGAGAGGGAGTTTATTCCAGGAGCCTCCTATTGGAGCTGGAGTATAATTAGCTTCCCCTGAAGTATGTGGTTGGATGAAGAATGAATGTCAGAAAAAAAAAATCCAGATTCTATTAAGAAAGAGAGAATATAGTTTCTGGGGAGTCAACCATTTGTAACCACTCTGTAGCCTAAATAAGGAAATTAACCATACAATCTTGACAATCAAATGGATGAAAGAGGTGAAAGGTAGGTAGTTCACATCTATCACTTTACCCAAACCAAGGCCTGTAGAATCACTGGAAAAGTGAAATCAGTGAATCACTATTTCTTCCTGAGAGGCACCAAGGAATATCCATTTTCAGAAATAGCTACTTAAAAATTTGTACTACCACATTTTTGCAAAGATGGTATTCTTGATTACTGGTTAATATTTGATATCCTTTTACAAAGAAAGAATATATTCATTATTGACTTTTTGGAATTTCAAAATATTTAACTTTAATTTCTAGTAGATGCTTCATTTAAACAAAATCCTGGAAAATGTTAAATACCATTTAAATCCTAAGAATGGGACTGTAAATAATTATGAATGTTCACATATTTTGAAAATGCAGCTAAGTGTTATATTTCGTTACAGAGAAGAGAAAAGTTGTTCTGATCATCAGCATTGAAGTTAGAAAATGAAAGCCCAAACCAGGTGTGGGGTGGGGATAAAACACTGGGAAAAAATGAGCAGAATGCTAGTACCAAAAAGTGAATATTTATGGGAGAGAAGCCTGCACGAATTAGCCAAAAGAAAAGGCATTGAAGATGGTATGGTTCCCCATCTATTACCCTTAATCTCCAGAACAGTTTTTAGTGGTATATTGATATGGAAAATGAATCCTTTCTGTTCTTGCTTTTTGACAATAACTGTGAAGTCTTCTAATACAATTTCTATATTTGTTTCTTTAACACTTGAGGAAATATTTTAAGGGAAAGCAATGGGGGAAAACGAACTAATAGTAATTGTTGAAAAAAGATAAATCTCAATTAGAACATATAAAGACAATAAGGAATAACATGCCAAATCAAATAAATAGCATATAAGATCACTATTATATCTTACCTACACATGTAAAGTACTTTATGATAAAAGCAAACAAGAATGAGAGATTCTTGTTTGATGTAAGTTTTATGTTGGAGGGGACCTTGAAGGTTGTTTGGTTTAATTTCCAATATAGTAGAGGAAAATCCCACAAATACTGCACTGTAGCTGAATCAGAACAGGATAAAACACGTGGTTGCTTTGTCTGTTTTGTTCATGGCAGGCTTATTGGGTTAGCATGACTAGCAAAAATAAGATTAGCTGAATGTGTCAGCTTCATTTACACAAATGCAGCCTTAGTCTCTGATAAAAAAAAAATCAAATAGTAAACTATCACTGCAGTTTGAATAGACTATTCATCATGTAATTACTAGTAAATATCTACCCTTCAAAACTGAACATGGGGTTAGTAAAGACCAAGAGTACTACTGAGAATAAATATACTTCTAAACATTTGAAAGTAATAAGGGTAATTATTATGACAGATTGTAAAACCCTGATATCCCTGATTGAATTGTTCTGTTCAGCATGGCATTTTTTATTTCCTAATAATTGAGGAAGATATTAAGTAGTAAGGAGTCCTTCCCTGAGCTGATAAATTTAACAAGACCAGGTTAAAAGAAATTTCTTGTCAATGGTCTAAAAACTCTTTATTTTTAAGGGTGCTCAAATCCATCATACATTTTTTAGATTTTATTTTTTTCTAACTTACCTTTCACATTATGTTGATATTCAATGGTCTGTTGTAGCCCTTTTATCATGTTATGAAGAGTAGCACATTCTAAAACATAAAAGATAAATTTATTTGAAGATTATTTGCTTTCATTTTGGAATTAATCTCTCAAAATTGAAATACTTAAAATAAAATAATATTTAATTGACAATTATGAAATCTTAATAAAACAACCAGGTATCTCAAATTAAATTATATAATAGCTAATTTTTAATTACCCAGGTAAGTCAAATGCAATCCAGTATTTAGTAATGAGTTTTCTAAGGCACAATAAATCCAGTATAGCAGAGATTCCCTGCAGGCGCCTTAGGAATATCTGTCCTGGAAGTCAGGCACACCTGGGACTGTCTGGGGAACTAGGAGGATTGTGTCCATGTGAGTTTTCCATGAAAGAACATCCCAAGGACAGAGAGTCAAGGTACATTAAGTTTTGTTCAAAGATAGAGAGCTGAAGCTGGTGAGATGTCACTTGGAATAAGATACTGCTTTACTTCCTCACTGTCCTCCAACCTGTCCTCTTAGTATTTATGTCTGAGTCCTAGGGCAAGGGAGTAGCAATAAAAGGAGTAAAAAAGGTGTTGAGTTACAGGGCATCAGCAACTTTGGTGCCAATGACTTCTGGCATAATGGGAGACGGAGCCTTCATTGCAGCATTAGTGCCCTGATATGCGCATATAAGCTTTCAGTATATTCTTGGTTATCACCAGCAACAGCTAAACCTTTGATGAGTAGCAACATGGTGGAAACTTCTGTAACTTTAAGCAGTCCACTTGGCTATAAGCTCCTGGACAGCGGGGACTATTTTCTGTTGTGTTTACTATTTCTCCCTAATACCTAGAGCAGTTGCAGTTCATACCTAGTAGGCACTCAATAAATATTTGTTGAGTGATTGATTCATAGATAGGCAATATCATAGTAAGCTGAAGCAAGAAAGGGGTAAGTGGAGAAGCTCTGGCCTGAAAATAATAACATATATTGCTATTCTAAATGCTTTGTAAATATTAAATCATTTAGCCCTCTTAACCCTACGAGGTAGGTCCTAGTATTTTTCTCATTTTACATATAAGGAAATTGACACACAGAAGTTCAGCCAATTGCCCAAGGTCACACTTATAACTATTGTAGTAAGTGGTAGAGCTAGAACATGAACCCCAGCAGTCTAGCACTGAAGTGTAAAATGAAGTGTAACTATTTTACTGACACCAAGACGGGGAGCTTAGGAGAACTTGTTCAGGGTAATTTGAGTAGGTTGGAAAGAGGGCAAAAACAGAACCGGAGAAAGACTCTTTGTGCTATCACATTTTTACTATAAGGTTAGGAAACACAGGTTGTACTAGTTTAAATTTACAATTAAACTAGCTAAATACATAATGATGAAAAATTAAAAAAAGAATACCTTAATATTTTAACAAAGAAATATACATTTTAAGGTTTAAGGGGAATTTTACCTCTATGTGCTTGGCTTAACAGCTAATAAATACTGAGCCTTATTCTCTTTCTTTCAGTTTAAAGGCCCATGCCCAATATTCAGCTGGCATGCACTAGTGTGACATGCTGACTAGCTGCCATTTTAATTAGGCATGTGTTTTGGTGGTTAAATATTAAATACCACATATGTATCAAATAATAAAAACTTATCTAGGTATAATAATAGTACCATTTATTGAATATTTACTCTGCCAGGCATTACACTAAGTGCATTATACACATTACCCCCATTGTATTCAAAATGATACTGAGAAACTGGTATCATTATCCTGATTTTACAAAGGTAGGAAGTCATCCATGGAGGTCTGGTTACTCGCCAAAGATTCCACAGTTAGTAAATGGAAGGTATAGATTAGAACACAGATTTTTCAAATCCTGTGCTCTTGACCTACTTATCCAATACTTCCTCAAGAATTGTAGGATATGCTGAGGCAACCATGAAACTTGGAGTCAGTGGAACTATTAGAGTTTTCCCTTCTTCACTTTCAAGCTTACCATGGGTAAGCTACTTAGCCTATTTATTTGAGTTTTATATTCTTCCTCTGCAAAATAAAAGTACGGGTAATACCCATCCTACCTCACATACTGGACTATTCTTATATATAAGACTGTTCTGACAACCAAATGAGAAAATATACTTTCTAAACTCACTCACAAATATTTAATATTGTTATTGTTGCTGTTATTGTCTCTCTCCTTTGTCTCCCACCAAAATTTGTGTAGATTTCTTTTCTCCATTTATCACATTGCATTTTAGTTATTTGTGGTTTCTCCCGCTAGATAGTGAACTCTTTCAGGTAAAGATGATATCTTTTTTATTTTGATATCCCTTGCATCTAACATGGTGACTATTTCATAGGTGTTCAATAATTATTTTATTTACTGACTAAATGGAAGAACCACTACTGTGAGGGGAGAATGCAAAACATCACCCTCAGTGAGAGGTCCTGTACTCAGTGTGCATGTACAGTGATAGAAACTAAAGTGTTTTGGGGAAGTTAAAAGCTTTATGCAGTTAGAAGGTTCTACCATTGTGGTTTTTCACTTCTCCCCACAGCCCTCTGTTGTTGCCACCACCTACTCTCAGACAAAGTTCCCACCATCCTCCACATTTTCTCTCTTGCTAGTTCCCAGTAACAGAATGATGGTTAAATTACATTTGACTTTATCTACTTCATGTATGTTACTGTTAGCTGCTATATTGAAAAATCAAGGGAGTGTAGACTGAGTCATAACTTGTCTTTGTGTCTTTTAGAGGATGAATCCAGCAACAAATAAATATGGCCGCTGAAAGTACCTCAGCCAGTAATGAGCAAACTGAAAAGTCCTGAAAACTGGAAGTATACTGAATGTTTCAAAAATCTGTATTTTCACAATTTGAACACAAGGTGGCCCTCCCAACACATTTTTTTTTTTTTAACAAAGGAATAAGGAATTGTTCCTAAGGTAGACTACCATTCATTATTTTAGAATACTGGATTCAATTTTCTTCGCAAACATTTACCCAAATTATCATTTCTATTAAACTTTATAATTTAACTTGAAGAATACTACTACCCTCTTTAATTCTTAAAAACCAGAGCTCAGAATACAAAGCTACTTCTTATACTATATAATTTAGTAAATCAATAATTATTTTGAGCTCAAATTTAGCCTCTACCATTAACTAGAAATTTGGGCATTAACATCCATTTTATGAAGCAGTTGGAAACGTTAAATACAATTATACATGAAAAGAATTTTTTACAGTACTTGGTCCTCAGTATTAATATTATTTATCATCTTGAACTGGCAAAGAAATTCTTTATCTGGTATAAAATTTGGAAAATAAAATATCAAGATCTCATTTTTTGTTGTTGAACAAATTCAATCATATATATACTATATGGTTTGTTCTTCCTCTCTAAGTGAACACTTGGCTCTGTAAATTGTCATTCTTGTTCTTTTTCTTCTGCAGTGTATTACCTAGTAAAAAGGTCATTAGATTTAGAATAAGTAGAATTGGATATTTAAAAAGCATTTAATTATTTTTTTTCAAATATAAAACACACATGAAAAATAAGTATAGGGAAAAGTACTCTCTCTCCAGTCTCTGCCCCCACACTAACCAGTCTGTCTGTCCCCCAGAGCAAACCCCTCAGAGCACACCACATTCTCAGGGAGCAGCACCTCACTGCATGAAGCCCAGGCTCCCAGGTTCCCTACCGGGCAGCTGGCTGCAGAGAAGGCACAGGCTGAGCAAGGGCACAGCTAGGAGGGCGGCCACTGGGAGCCGAGCGACACACTGGCATGGGTGGCAAAGAAGTGAGGGGAGAGTGTCAGACTGATTCTTGGGTTTGCCATTTCTTAGCTGAGTGGCCTTCAGCAAATTATTTAACTTCTTGTATGCTATGTTTCTTCATTACTGAAGTAGAGTAATAATACCAGTCTTATCTGTCTTTCAGGGCTATACTAAGGATAAAATGAAATGATAGCCTGGAAAGTACTATGTGAACTTCAAATATTTCACAAATGTATGGGGCAGTATTAATCACTGTTGTATCAAAAAGCACTCTCGTTAGAATTAGTATTTCTTCAGTCAGTAAAGAACTAACCTTCTTTAAGTGAGACTTCCTTTGTTTGCATTCCTTTTAATAAGTAGTTCGATTTTTCCAACTGAATATCCAGTATATTGTTCTTTCCACTAATTTCTATCATTTTCTGTAGAAGAAACAATATATATTATTACCAAATCAATGCTGCTACTTTTATTTTTTTACCTAAGACTGTAAGACTAATAAAAATACAAACCACTTAATACCTGAATGTCTAATAATTAAGCCTGACATATATTTTTAAATAAGTCAACTTCCTAATTTACTTTTAATTTTAAAAGTCACATGGTAAAAAATAAAAACAGTTATGAAAAGAAAAATATGACATAACTCGAACCCTCAGTTCTATTGTTAACAATTCCTTATATATGTTTCCAAAATATTTTATGATTATACAACTATAGGAAAGGATCATATTATATTCTGATCTGCACCTTGAACGTTCAGCTTAGTTCTATTATCTTGGAGATGATGTCATATAAGCATATATAGGTCTACCTCATTCTTTTTAACAGCTGCATTGAATTTCATTTATGAGTATTCTGCAATTTATTTAACTAGTCCCTAAGTGAGGAAAATTTGTGTTGTTTGTACTTTTTTTTGCTATTGCAGATAATGAATAAACATTATTGAACATATCTCTTTGGTATCTTTGTGAATAGTATAACTGCCACCATATACCCTTCAAACACCTTTAAAAATCATCAATTCACGACCAATCTTGTGTCATCTATATCTTTACCCACTTCCCTATTGTCATCATTTCTACATTTATCTCAAAGCAACTCTCTGACATTATTGTGTACATAAATATTACCATTTATATGTATCTCTAAGAGATAAGTCTCTTAAGAATACAATCATAATACCATTATCACATCAAAAATTGAACAATATTTCTTATTTAAAATGTTTAAAAATATGATAGATATTTCCAAATTAATCTCCAAAACTGCCCCAATTCCTTTCTCACTGACAGTGCTAAATCTCTCTCTCTCTTTGCCCTTAGTTTGGTAAGAATCACTTAGTTAAGAAAACCTAAGTTCATTGTTTTAAAAAAGCCCATAATGTTACCTTAAAATAATAATCATAATGAAAATTCTTTTATTATGGCAATACTACATTGTGCAGATGAAAAGAGTAGATAAAAAATGATAATAAAAGGAGAGAAAATAGAGGTAAGTATTAGTTCCCCTCCCACTTCACAAACCCACTCCCCAAATCTGTAATTTATCCATCTACATTTTCTCAACAGCTATTCGTACTCCTCTCTGAGGCAGAGGAGGGGGAAAAAAACCTAATATATGCTTTTAGATTTGGTCTACCATGTAATTTGTCCCGAGTTAGCAAGGGAGGACTTCAAATAGGTCTGCTTAGGCAAAAGAGAAGGAAATGGGAAAAGATAGAATTTGAAAGACTAAAAAAAAAATTGAGTTAATCATAATGATAAGAGATTGAGGACTGAGTCTACTTCCATTCTTTTAAACCATTCCTGAGTTTATGGACATCTTGTACATTTAAGTATGTACTTTCCCACTAAGGTTAGCAAAAGTATATCAATTATTTGTTCCCTTGGCCCAGAAACATTTTGATGCATTAGTACAAATAAGCCAAAACCAGATATATTTTAAATATAGATTTCTAAAATGAGAAAGGGCTTAGCAAAGTACATTTCCATTATCTTTACCCTGTTCATTTTGGGGGGGTACACTTTTCTTTCTTCCCAACTCCTTCCATTGGTTAAAATCTGTTTCACATTTCCCTATATACTATAACTGTTTCATATATTGACATACCTTTTCTATCTGTGAGAAGTCATTTATAAGTTTGTCAAGATTCACACTGCTAATCTTTTTCATACATCCTTCGCTGCTTTGATTCATGTCTAAACTAGTAGAGAGTAAATAGTGTTAAAAACAAACAAACAAACAAAATCTAAAGCACTACAATAGTGGTAATAACTCAAATGCTAAAGTTTCTGTACTCCATTCATAGAGCACCTACGTAAGCTCCATTACACTCAGAGAATTTTTGTTATTCCATTATTAACAACAGTCAAATGCATTTAGGCTTCTCCACTCTTCTTCACTCCCACCCCAGCTGAGCTTTCTCTAAACAAATCTAAAATTAGTGCATTGATATGTGCATATGTGAAAATTATTTGTCCCGAAAAACTAATTTTGCCACTGTTCAACACTCATATCCTTGCCATTCGTATGGCTGGACTTAAAATCTGATGTATTACTAAATCTGATGAATGATCTTTAACCCTTCGTTGGGTGCAACTATCTCACAGATTCACTGCACACAAATTTTCAAATATCTAACAGTTAACTTAAGTATTGTGACTCATCGTTTCTGTATCTTCCCCCTCTACCATAACCTATTGCCAGTTGTGTTTGTGACTTAGAACAGTAAAGACATATTTCATGGTGGCATCTTTGTGTGCAATGAATCTGTAAGATCAATTGCGCCTGATGGAGGGTTAAATATAGGTATTCTCTATTTAAAATATTTAAAATATTTGTTTAACTACCATGCTACATATATTTTTTTTACTGTATTTCCTGGTACTGTGCTTATTGCTATGGATTGAATTGTGCTCCCCAACACCCAATTAATATGTTGAAGCTCTAAACCCCAAAGTGACTGTATTTGGAGACAGGGTCTTTAGGAGATAATTAAGGTTAAATGAGGTCATACGGGTGGGGCCCTATCCAATAGGACTGTGGCCTTATGAGAAGAAGAAGACTAGGTATTTCTGCACACTCTAAGAAAGGACTAGCCTTGCAGCCCTGTCTCTGACATCCATTAAAGAAAAAGAAGAAGAAGGAGAAGGAGAAGGAGGAGAAGAAGAAGAAAGAGAGAGAGAGAGAGAGAGAGAGAGGGATCTTGCTCTCTTTCTCCATGTGCTAATACTGAGGAAAGGCCATGGGAGCACAGAGTGAGAAGGTGGTCATCTGCAACGCAAGGAGAGAGCCCTCACCAGATAGCAACCCTGTTGGCACATTAATTTTTGACTTCCCAGCCTCTAGAGCTGTGAGAAAATAAATTTGTGTTGTTTAAGCCACCCAGTATATAGCATTTTGTTATGGCACCTTGAGTAGACAAATACATTTATTTTTCATATTTTGTTTGGTAACCTGTTTGGCAAACAAAGACATATGGAAATTAATATTGTCAAAGCAATCACTCAGTATTTATATTCTCTTGTTATTTTGTTTAAGAATACCTTTAGGTATAGCCAGCTGACTACTGAAGTAGAGAAAAAGAATTGCAGTTTTAGTCCTATGAAAACAATCGTAAGAAATCCAGTAAAGGAAGATCCAAAATGGCACTGTAGATAAACACTGTATCTGCTTCCTTCTGTGCACAAATTAAAATCACAACTAAATTATAGGACAATCAACCTGGAGAACCACTTGAAGTCTGGCTGAACAGAAATTTTATAAATAAGGATTTAAAGAAAAGCCATGTTGAGTTTGGCTAACTGAGAACTGGCTAACCCCAAACCTCTGTGTGGTGGTTGAGAACCGGGAGGGATATCTCAGTCAGAGTTTCCCCCCAGAGGAGAGACCCTACCCCCACACCAGCCTCCCCAGCCCAGAGTACTGGTGCCAGGAAGAGGAACCCCCATAACATCTGGCTGTGAAAAACAGAGGGGATTCTGACCATTTGGGTTGGATGGAAGGCGGCAGGAAACTCAGGCATCCTTTTAAAGGTCCTGCACACAGACTCTTTCATTCCCAGGCACTCACCTTGAGCTCTAGTGGAGGGACAGTAACTCAGGGGGTGTCAGAGGCATACAGGGGCAGACTAAGTTGTGTCACCTCAGAACGAGGACTGGAGGATAGTCAGCATGTTCCCTGAGTGGGGTCCTCCTCCTGTATAGCCAGCAGGCTGGCTCTATCTTTCCTGTGTTGAGCCCTCCCCCTCTGCCTACAGCCAAATCTGAATCTGATTGGTCTGATGAGATCCACAGCTCTGCCCTGCTGACTCACTGGAACCCTGCCCCACCCAACTCCCTCAACACTGGTGGCACTTTCTCCAAGAGCAGCCAGCCCCATCTGCATTGCACTCTTTTATGGAAAATTATCAGAGTCTGACAGACCCCAGGTGGGCAGTGACTGGCCTTAATGTGCTGAGACGTTTGCTGAGTAGCTTCAGGCTCAGCACTGGCAAACTAGAATTTACATTAACCTGGTGACCACAACTCTTCCCATTCTAGTGACTTCCTGAGACCCTGCCTCACCCAACTTGCATATCGCATGAAACTTTATCAGCGACTGAACCTTAAGGGAGCTGGCAGGTGGCAGCAGGCCTCAGGGTGTCCTGACATTTTATGGAGCTACCCCAGGCCTGGTACAGGTGGCAGATATTCTTGGTTTGCAGGGTGGCCTCTCTCATGTGCCTCCAGGGTTAGCACAGTCAGCGAACAACTGCAGATCACCTTGTAGCTCTTACCAGGTAGTCCCTGGCTGGTCAGAGGCAGTGAGTAACCTGGGCCTGCACTGGAGACCTAACAAGAGGACCTAGCACCAACATACTTGGAGGATGGCTTCAGACCACAGCAGAGCCCCACCCAATTAGCCCAAGTGGCACACCCAAAGGGTGATCTAAACAGGCACCAGGGCCTGCTGGGGTGAATCCCACTCAGTGGTGTAAGCCTTCCCCCACCCCCGTAGCAGCCTGTAAGCTGTGGACATGGCAAAACCTCACAGCCAATCAGCCTGAGGGTCAATCGCACCCACTGATGTGCCAATAGCAACCAAGGCTCAACTATGACAGGAGGGCACACACAACTCATACAAGGGACACTCTTGCAGCACCTGGTGCAGGTGACCAGGGAGCTGTACCACTGGGCCCCACAGGGAACCTACTATATAAGGCTACCTAGCCAAGACTGGGGGACATAGCAGATTTACCTAATACATAGAAGCAAATAGAGAGGCAGCCAAAATGAGGAAACAAACAAATACACCCCAAATGAAAGAATAAGAGAAAACTCTAGAAAAAGAACTAAACAAAATGGAGGCAAGCAAGCTACCACAGAGTTCAAAACAATGGTTACAAGAATGCTAAAAGAACTCAGTGAGAACTTTAACAAAAAGATAGCAAGCACAAAAAAAGGAAATAAAAACCATTAGAAAAAAAAAACAACCAACCAGTTAGAAGTGAAGAATACAATAACTGAAATGAAAAATGCACTAGAAGGAATCACCAGCAGACTAGATGAAGCAGAGGATTGAATTGATGATTTGGAAGACGAGATAGCAGAAAGCACCCAATAGGAAGAGCAAAAAGAAAAAAGAATCCAAAAAAAATGAGGATAGTTTAAGAGACCTCTGGGACAACATCAAGGGTAACAACATTTGCATCATAGGGGTACCAGAAGGAAAAGAGAGAAAGCAAGGAATTGAGAATCTATTTGAAGAAATAATGACTGAAAACTTTCCTAACCTGACAAAGGAAATAGACATAGAAGTCCTGGAAGTGCAGAGAGTCCCAAACAAGATGAACCAAAACAGGCATACAACAAAACACATTATAATTAGAATGGCAAAGGTTAAAGACAGAGAGAGAATCCTAAAGGCAGCAAGAGAAAGGCAACTAGTAACTTATAAGGGGCTCCCACAAGATTGTCAGCTGATTTCTCAACAGAAACTTTGCAGACCAGAAGAGATTGGCACAAAATATTCAATGTGATGAAAAGCAAGACCTACAACCAAGATTACTCTACCCAGTAAAGCTATCATTTAGAATCGAAGGATAGATAACTTCTCATACAAAAAAAAAGGTAAAGGAGTTTATCATCACCAAACCAGTATTACAAAGAATGTTATAGGGACTTCTTTAAGATGAAAAAAACCAATGATCAAAATTATGAACGATAAAATGGCAATAGCTACATATCTATCAACAGTTATTTTATTTTTTTAAAGATTTTATTGGGGAATGGGGGAGGGGAACAGCGCTGGGGAATCGGGGGAAGGGGAACAGACAAGTTGCTGTCCTTTTGTTCTTCAGTCTAGTTGTGGAGGACGTTGCTTCACTGGTCCATGTTGGTATTATGATCATCGCGCTCTTCCCGGATGAGGCAGATCAGTCCCTGGCCTCTGGACAGCTGCTCACGGCAGCTCTTGGCAGCTCATGCCGGCTGCTGGCCACTCACACTGGCTGCCGGACACTCACGGTAGCTTATGGCAGCCCACTGCAGCAGGGGCTGCAGCCTACGCCATCGCCAGCGACTCATGGCAGCCCAGCTCCAGGTAGAGCTATTGTTCACCATCTTAGCTGTAGAGGGCAGTGTCACTGGCCCTCATGTGGGATCTGAACCGGGGCCCTGCTGCTCAGAGCTGGTGTCCCAAGCCAGCTCTTAACCAACGCGCCACTCGGCTGGCCCTCAACAGTTATTTCCAATGTAAATGGATTAAATGTTGCATTCAAAAGACATAGGAGGGGGCCGGCCAAGTGGAGCGTTGGTTAACAGCTGGCTTGGGATGCCAGAGGGCCCCGGTTCGGATCCCACATATAAGGGTCAGTGACACTGCCCTCTACAGCTAAGATGCTGAACAACAGCTCAACCTGGAGCTGGGCTGCCAGTGAGTCGCCAGTGATGGCAGATGGGTTGCCATGGGCTACCGTGTGTAGCCAGCAGACAGCGTGAGCAGCCAGCAGCCGCAGTGAGCAGCCATCCAGAAGCCGGCGACTGATCTGCCTCGTCCGGGAAGAGTGCAATGATGGTGCCAACTTGGGCCAGTGAAGCGACATCCTCCACAACTAGACTGAAGAACAGAAAAACAGCAACTTGTCTGTTCCCCTTCCCCCAATTCCCCAGCGCTGTTCCCTTCCCCCAATTAAAAAAAAATCTTTTAAAAAAAAGACATAGG